TAAAACTGGCCTCCCCTTTCCTATATCAACAAGTTGTCATGTTTTTGTGACCTTCCCCCACCGCTATTAACTCGATGTAATTTATGAACGGCTCCTAATTATGCAGTATGTTCGGCCACCACTGGGAAAAATTTCAATGGGAGATTCTAGAGGCCAAAATAAGACGAAAATCAAGAATACTAATTTGTTGATGGAGGCTGCGTTAAAAAGTTATTAACATTTAAAGTTCCGCCCGTACTGAATTTTTTTCTCGAAAATGCGCAGGATTTCGAGGGTATGTCTGTTCACCAAAAATGATTGTAATTGACCCCCTCAAACGAAAATAATTTTTCCAGAACGATTTGAAATTTCTTAATTTTTTCGAAAAATTTCATATCTCGAATTTTTTTCTCGAAACTGGGTAGGTCTTCGGGGTATGTCTATTCACCAGAAATGCTTGTAATTGACCACTGTAAATAAATATAATTTTTTTAGTATGATTTGAAATTTTTTAATTTCGTCTAAAAATTTCAGTACTTACTCGAATTTTTTTCTCGAAAGTGCGTAGGATTTCGGATATGTTTGTTCACCAAAAATGATTGTAATCGAACTCCGCAACTAAAAATAATTTTTCCAGAATAATTTGTAATTTTTTAATTTAATTTTTTAATAACTTTTTAACGAAGTTTCCATCAACAAATTGGTATTCTTGATTTTCGTTTTATTTTGGCCTCTAGAATCTTCCATTAAAATTTTTCACCAGGATGGCCGAACACCTTGTATATGCATAGCAAAGGCAAGGGAAAATTTTCATCTAATTAAAAGTTTTGTATACCGAATAACAGGTAAGGAGTATATATGTATGTAAAGAAATAATTCACAACGAATAAATAAAAATTTGAAGTCTTAATAAAATAAAAATGTATTATTCATTTTACACTAAATTCTATAAATGATTTCGAGTATATGTATAAATAAAGAATTAATGCGAACTCGATAATGTGCATTACTATTGGATCCAAAATTTAATAAATAAATTTCGAATCGATCAGAAGGAGGTTAGAAAATATACTTTTTCATATTTCACCCTGCTCGGGCTCCTAGATCCACGTCTTATTGATTATCTGTTATTCGAATAAAATTACGTCCATCTTTGATGCATAGTTTTATCTTAATCGATTACACAAAATGGAAAAAAAAATAGTATTTACTTTGATTTCACCTACTATCCTTATTATGTTTTAATGACGTAGACTAGAAAATCATAGAAAAAATAATCAGGCCGCTAAAAACTATTAAAAAGGTAACGTAGAACGTGTATCTAAGCTTAAACTGATTCGTCATCCGTAGTTTACAAACGTCCAGTGCAAACAGAAAGAAATACGTACTCACTGATCTGGCATTTGACTTTTACTTCCTGATCCCTACAGGTGGTCCGGTAGAATCCCCTTCTGGGTTTAAGACGCCCACACCATCGAATACGTCATTGGATTATCTCTAGTCCGAGTCATTCCGGTCTTTCGTTAGAATTCGTTGACGCCAACGCAAATCAGTTTGCGACTCGTGGGTAGCGAGACGTTCGTTGCGTCCATTGCTAAATTTGAGGTTTTAATTTTTCGACTTCGTGAATGTCGAAGCTTACAAAATACGTCGATTCAAAATACCGTTCGATAGACCCACACATAAACAATAAATTCGACGAGTAACGTTCTGTTTCCTCGTATCGAGATATAAAATACGTTCATTATTTCGTTCCCATCGATTAAATGTTCGATCTTGATACGAAAACTACCATTATCGCTATTTATGCTACATACTGTCTCACTGTGAATTGCAAGCGCGTTTAAGAAAACAATCTCTCGTGGCATCTACTTTTTTTAACCTTCAAAGTTTTTTCATTGCCGAAAGATTCTGTCGAGTCGTTGCATATTATGTTTAAATACGCGATTGGTTGAAACGAAGTGGCCAATTAGGTTTTGACTAAATTGTTTCGTTTTCTTTTCGCCGATGATTCCATAAAAACACTCGCTATTCTCGAAGCACCGTTTTATCACTCCACAGAAATATTCAATTCTTTTGTGAATGCTCGCGTTGACGTCAGAAATTGTTTCACTGGTCGCAATCGCGTGTGTAACACGAATCACCGCGGAATTTAATTGTATGATGTACCGTCTATCGATTACGGTGGTGAGACGATAACTCTTAAAATCGCGAAAGTGTACAGCCGATCACGTCCTTCGGTCGTACGTGATTCTGGCCATATCGCCCGCTTCTCAATGCTTCTGTTTACCTTTTCATCCCATTTAGGGTAGCCATCTATCGTATAATGACGAACCTAGGACGGAAAGCATTCTTATTCTTGTCAACACTTCCAACCCCGATTGAAATGTTTTTCTTGGTAAAAATAAATAGATTAACGATATATATTTTTTCGTAAATATATTGTTAAATATACTATTTGCACTTTTTGTTAATATTTCACGAAACTGTGCATTGTACAGTTGTACAAAACTGTACACCCGCGTTGATTAGAGACGTGTGTCGTTACACATCCCTGGGAAAAATTTTAATGGGAGATTCTAGAGGCCAAAATAAGACGAAAATCAAGAATATCAATTTCTTGACTGAGGCTTCGATAAAAAGTTATTAACAATTAAATTAAAAAATTTCAAACCGTTCTGAAAAAATTATTTTCGGTTGCGGGGTTCAATTATAATCATTTTTGGTGAATACACATACCCCTGAAATCCTATCCACTTTCTAGAAAAAAAATTCAGTACGAGCGGAACTTTAAACGTTAATAAGTTTTTAACGAAGTCTCCATCAACAAATTAGTATTCTTGATTTTCGTCTTATTTTGACCTCTAGAATCTTCCATTAAAATTTTTCCCAGTGATGGCCGAATACCCCGTATATACACAACAATTGGGAGAAATCAACGCAAGATAATCAGTTTTGAATACGAGAAACTGTGTTACCAAAAAAATGCAAATTGCTGTTCGAGCTCGTTTAAACGAGAAATTTCACATCTAGGCATTTTTAACAATTCACTCGAAAATAATCAGTTTTATGCTTGTGGTGTTCTCTCAATTTATCTTTGATGATTAATGTCTTCAACGTAATGTAAACATTGAATATCACGCCCTGATCGTGTTACGTGCTTAAACTGAAATAATTTTCAATGAATATTATGAAATATAAAAATCCGGCAAAAATAGTTCAAATAAAACCGAATGGATTATTGGAATATTGTAACTAAATATTTATGAAAGTGACAAAGCAATTTTTATAATCTTTATATACATTTATAATTAATTTAAGTATTGGAATCATTTTATTTGTGTAAGTTCATCCAAAAATATTAATCTGTACAAAACAGTCCTTTCTGTAATTTATTATAAAATAACTTATAATGATGTATAATCTAAGTACATTTCTGTATTTATATTTTCTTTATTTATACTTTATTTATATTTATTATTTAAGTTACACTGTTATGTATTCAAGGATTCAATACTTAGGATCAAAATAAATCAAGTCAAATCATGCTCCTAAAGACTATGCTTTCTATAACATATTGTCGTTGCAATACGAGCTGATTTATGTTTCGTTTATTAGAAATAGTGTTTGAATTATAATTATACTGCTGCGAAGTACTAAATCGTTTCCATTGAAGAATGATCAACTACGTTATTTAAAACTTCCAACGGAGAGAATGGTTCAACGTTTCTCGATTTAAGGTTATGTGTACCTTTCCGTCGTGTTTCGAACTTTTAGACAAACTGACCTCGTCTCTATTTCTGATTCTGTTCAAATTACAGCCCAGCCTCTGTTTGTATGCGGAGTTGCACCACGGGTGATTTTGCAAGTTTCAATTATCGTGAAAATCAACGAATAATATATGCACGTAGTATTGTTCGCGGATCGACGGAACAACGAATTCGCAGAAACCGTTGGCGAAGCTTACAATTCGCGGAAAGGTATTTGTATCAAAGTTCGAGATTCTCCGTGACGTGTTGCTATATTTGCAGTTGTAGCTCACGCCTACGTCATAGCACGGGCGATAATAGAAAAAATTTCTTCGATGTTACGTCACACTTTCGATATCAGTCCACGGTATTTTTAATGAAGACGGACGGAGAAAAGGTTAACCGATTCCGCGAACGCGTCCAATTTTCCGTGAACCACCTGAAAGACGTTCATTAAGCGTGCGTTTTCGCATACCGCGAAATTTTATCGTACAACGAATAAGTAATTGTGCCCCATACTGTGTTCCTCGTGCAACTGACCACTTTCATCGAGTGTTTCGAATGAAATTAATGGAAACGAAAATTTTGTTTTTATACGAATGAAATTAAAGAGCAATGTAAACGTAATTTATTACCTAGTTAAGATGATACTATTTTATAACTGCGTTAAATACTTAATTGGGAGGAAAGTAGTTGAAATGTTTATTTAATTATTAATTTATTACTTTGTATTATGTATCACTTTTATTGAAAAAATATATACTTTATAAATTCTAAATAAAATTCTGAATATAAGTGTAACAATTTTATATAGTACTAAACCTAAAATAATTTACGCGAGTGTCAATGTTTATAATTTCAAGAATCTGTATTTTTTATTTTACAAGAGGCTCAACTTATATATTTTTTATTTTAAATATCCAACTAATTTGCTATATTCTTATTTTTGTCTCGAGCCTTGCAGTTATATTTGAATAAACTAAAAATAAATAATAATATACTAAAATGAATTGAATTAAAATATAGTAAAAATTATTTTCACTATTAAATTCCATCTGTAATGGTATCTTCTCCAATTCGATAATAATTTATATTTATATCTACGTATATTGAGTTTAACGTTAACTGCCCTTTCCAGAGCAATCACGGGAAATATAATTACGACACCTGTTTAGTGAATCTTCCTGACGATGTATGCACCGTACGAGTAATCGTGCAGTGATAGATAAAGGCACGAGGCCTCCAAGAGTGCGGTCAGTGTGTTCTCGGACGTCGATCGGCGAACCACGCGAATTTTCGTCGGATTGCTTCTGTCGTTACACGATCCTCTGTATCCTATCGTTATAAAAAGTGTAATTGAACGTTAACGATCATTGTGAACCGAGCGTCGTTCAAACTATTCCGCGGAAAAATTATTTCTGGAAATTGGTGAAGGTGATTTGTTGGAATTTACCGCGGTAATATCTGTTACGATAAGATCTTAAGAATCTTTGATTCCACGTACGATATTAGTTTCAACAGTGGTGAATCGTACGATTTATTAGCATTGAATTTTGAGAAGTAAGTATCTTTTTACCAGTCCCCCGCGGATTCTGTGTGTTTGTGAGGTTATGGTTCCGTCGTGATACCCTGACGTTAGATTTCGGAAAATTTCAGTCACGAATTACGGATAGAAATGGAAGTTTACGAATCTAAAATTTCAGATTCGTTGTTCGCGAATGAAAGTCAAACTCTGATGGCTTCTGTAACTTTCCATCGCAGATCCTCTCTACATTGTTGATTTTTAATGAAATAGTTTCATATGGCATTCGAATTATAAGAATTTGAGAGGATCGAAAGTTCTGTATGCTAGTTGTTGGTTTCGTTCTCGAAGTAGCGGGAATTTGTAGGTGAATGACCATTCATCGGACGATTCACCGTCACTATGACACGATATTAAATGCTTTTCGGTACACTCCACAGAGGATCCACGCATTTTGATTGCGGATCCGTGAGCGTTTGATCTTCATGCGCCACGAATAACATCCTCGAGTTAACTACTGTCACTATAACGATTGCACAATGTGTCGCGTAAATGGGCATTCGGAATAAAAATGATAATTTCTAAATTAATCAATTTTCCGCATCAGACGTCTAATAATTTTTTTAAAGAGAATAAGAAAAGTGTTGACGAATGCAGTGTCGCCATCTATTAGACTTATCCGAATGGGACTTCCCCGTCCGACGCCTAAAATGTTCGTAGTACTCGATGGTGAAACATCATGCCCCTTTTTTTATTTCCGTAAAAGTTACGCTATGTAGTATTAAAGCATTATTAAAGTAATAATAACTACATTAAATACGTTCGTGTTAATGGTGGCCTTTCCCAAACTATAACAAAACGTATAAGAAGGTATAATATTTTTATTTAAAAGATCGAGGTGACTTTGATCGCAGTTCCTTGTTTACCGAGTAATACTTTTGTTTGAACATTATTTTATTCGAGTACTAAATATAAGTTACATAACTCGAATTGTAAACACAAAATGGAACGTATTTAAAAACATGCAAAATTTACGTTCTGTTATTAGTATTTAAGAGTTTGTAGAAATTAAAGTTCTATTACTTCTAAAACTATAATAAATTTCTGGCACCAAAATCTATGTTCTGTTATTAATCTTTGAGAATTTGCAGAAAATAAACTTGGGTTTTATTACTTTTAAAATCATAATAAACTTCTAGCATCAAAATCTAGGTTTTATTATTAGTATTTAACAGTTCCCAGAACATAAACTTCTTGTTCTATTACTGTTAAAATTACCTTAAATTCTGAGCATCGAACTGTACGATCTCTTATTAATATTTAAACATTTGCCAAGCATAAACCTCGATTTTATTACTTTTAAAATTACAAAACATTTCTAAGATCAAAATCTACGTTCTGTTATTAATATTTATGAATTTGTAGAACATAAACGTCTCTCATTCTATTATTTTTGTCCATTTCCGGGGACGTTGCGCATTAACGAAAAGTGACTCTGTCACCGTGAAAAACAAATATATCGGGTGATAATGGAATAACGATTTAATAATTGTGGAAGGTCGCGAAATGCAATGGATTAATTAGGTAACGCAATTATCGTATGTTGCAGGTTTCGAAGGTATTCTCGCTGCCGTTTCGTTGCCTCTTCGAGAAGATAACGCGACAGGAACAAGTGGAAGAACGTGTTCTTCTGATCCGTGTTCAGACTCGACTAACAGATTTCTATTATCTTACGCATCGTTCGGCATTTAATAGATAGCGGGAAAATAATCAGGCAACCTGATAGAGCTCTCAGTTTCAAGGAAACATCTCTATAAATACGTGGAATCGCCGAGAAGGAACGTTGGGGAAGCTTCTTGAGGTTCAAGAAACGAAGTCGATCCTGGATACGCGTTTATCGGGCGGATAAACCGTCCGGTATCTGATTCACTCATATCGACGCGATAAACGTTACCGTTAGCACCGAAAATATAAACTCTGATCGAATCGGGATCGGTGGACATTAAAAACCGAGTGGAAAAATTTACAAAGATATCGCGAACGATACAAGATGTCGCTGGCGGCTCGAAATATCCAGATATTCGATTTCACCGCGGTTGTTGACACGTGATGCCCGAAAATCGGTGACGATAAAACGTAAACTGGACTTTAAAGAACGTTCGTTATCAAGGCAATACCGACGAAGCGACTCGAGAACCCGAGGAATCCGTTCTGCAAAGATTTCGAGAACGTTACAAAAAAAAAATATTTTACAACAGTTTTTGCAGATACTATAAAAAGATTTCGAGGAAAGATGTCTGGAAACGCTGAAAAACTTTTAATGTTGCTATACGTTCTTCTCTGCAACCTGGCGATTTCCATCGCCCAAAACAATGAAGCAGCAACTATACATTCGATTCTTTTGGTATGTATAAAAAAAATGATTACAACAAATATATTAATACCTTCCAGAGTGAATCTATTTTTAAATTGTGTTTGATAGAATTTAGTGTTGGGTACATCTTTATCTGGATGACGAATACTGTTTTGTTTAAGTGCAGTGTTGTTAAGAAAATAATGATTACCAACACAAAACATAGGCAATCTAACAATAAGTTCTACAATTTACTATTATTCTAACGATCAATTTACATTACGCTGTCATTTATCTTGCAATATTATCTTCGCTACCCTGGGAAAAATTTTAATGAGGGATTCTAGAGGCCAAAATAAGACGAAAATCAAGAATACCAATTTGTTGATGGAGGCTTCGTTAAAAAGTTATTAACAATTAAATTAAAAAATTTCAAATCGTTCTGGAAAAATTATTTTCGGTTGCGGGGGTCAATTACAATCATTTAAGGTGAATATACATACCTCCGAAATCCTATCGACTTTCGAGAAAAAAAATGAAAAAAAAGTGCTAAAATTTTTCGGCGAAAAAGAAATTTTTCAAATAGTTCTGGAAAAATTATTTTCGGTTGCGGGTGTCAATTGTAATCATTTTTGGTCATTATACATACCCCTGCAATCCTACACATTTTCGAGAAAAAAAATCAGTACGGACGGAATTCGTTTTTCATTTTTAATGAATTTGGTTGGCGCTGTACAGAAAAGTTGTTCAATACTTATTTGTAGGTATCCATAAACTGTAGTTCTCCTCAGAATTTCAATGAAATATATTCACTATTGTAGGAGTTATAGCTGTTTAAATATTGGATCATTTTTATGGGGTTTTTCTCATTTTGCGAAGTCAAGAAATAACTTTTCGAAAATTTTTGAAATTTCCGCATATTCTTCACCAAAATACGCGTTGTTTGCATTTTGAAACATTAAAATCGTCCAATCCGTTCAGGAGTTATGATGTTTCAAAGATGCACATGAAATTTCGGGGAACCATTTCAGGCCTCAGACTATATTTTCGGTATGGAATTTTTTTCTTGAAAATGGGTACGATTTCGGGGGTATGTATATTGACAAAAAATGATTGTAATTGACCCCTGCAGCCGAAAATAATTTTTCCAGAACGATTTGAAATTTTTTTTCCGTCAAAAAATTTCACACCTTCTCGAATTTTTTCTTGAAAATGGGTAGGATTTCGGGGGTATGTATATTGACAAAAAATGATTGTAATTGACCCCTGCAACCGAAAATAATTTTTCCAGAACGATTTGAAATTTTTTAATTTAATTGTTAATAACTTTTTAACAAAGCCTTCATCAACAAATTGGTATTCTTGATTTTCGTCTTATTTTGGCCTCTAGAATCCCTCATTAAAATTTTTCCCTGGGTTGGCCGAACAACCTGTATTTTAGTAATGTTGAATTTCGAATAAGTTCTTACAAGGTTTTCAGCGTATACGTCGAAATATCGAATCAAATGAATCTTCGTTCTATTTTACTTTTACGACCGATAAAAAGTTATTACGTTTCCAAACACCTTAGTCGAAGCTTTACATTATCGAGAAAAATAGTCTGTTAATTCTAGTTTACGCATCGATTGAATTTAAACATTTATATCCAGGCAAGAAAGATATAATTACGTATACGTTCCTGTAAAGCGCGATAAATATAGACATTTGTATGTTTACAAAATTATTTTTAGAGATCTGGCTATCCATTTATGCGAATCCTCGTAACCGTTCCGGCTTCCGACTTACTTCTGGTTCTAAATACATGACTCACAGGAGATCGAGAAACCTCGATTTGCATTCCTTTCATTGAATTAGCACTGTTTGATGCAAATGGCTATCGTGATAAATGTATCCATTCATTTAACAATTATCACCTACTAAAATTCTGACAGTACGCAATTATATTGACTAATGATTGCACTGGTCAACAAATTGCAAACAATAGCTTGTATTCTATATGATTATCTTCCTATTTATTTGCGTATATCGAGATATACGAGGGAAATGTTTCAAATGCGATATTTTGATTTTGAACTTGCTTGGTGTGAAACGAGTAAAATTATGTACTTTACAATAATATATTAGTGTATGCGAATATATGTGTTAATAGTATGTTATATACTTATAGTATGCTAATGTGATAATTAAAGTAAATATCAGAGAAGATTTGTCAGAAAATGGCTTAATTAAATTGAATATTACGTTTTTCTTATTTATACATTAAACACATATACGAAGGTACATTATATTTCAAATTTAGACACAGTAGCTACATGAACCGAAATAATATTTAATTGACAACTCTTGAGAAGTTTTTTTGTACTTTTTGTATTCTAATCTAGAGTTTCATTTTTTTTTTGGTCATTTTACAAAAAAAGTATGAGTCTTAATTTTGACATTTTCTTTTTTAACACATACATGTTTTAATACAATTTCTTTGTAGTGAAAATAATCAAAATTGACCAAATTTTATGATTTGACAAGGTTCCTTTAAGAATAAGTATCCTACCAGCTGAAATGAAAGAATCAGAAGGATATGATTGACCAATCAAGTGTGATAATGACCATGGTGTGAACCGAAATTATAATAAACATTCGTCAAATATAAATAAATATGTGTGCAAAATATCGAAATTAAGAAACATACTTTTTTTGTATAAAAAAATCTCTAAAAAGGCTTAAAGAATGAAATTCTAGGCTAGAATACCATCTTAAGTGTTCTTAAGTGTGGGGACCACTTTATACTGGCTATTAAACGGGTGGGAAGATATTTCAAGGAAACTAAAGTCATGAATATTAGAATATTCAAATGTACACTTTGTATTTTTTCTTGCATCTACGTTTCCTGGTCACACATTGTGAGCAAGAATTCCGTAAATTCCTTTGATAAAAATAAGTGATGTTACGAAAAAAATAATAAGAGGAGGAGGGATCCATTCGATCGCTACTCAATTTCAGATGTTACGATTTCCTTTGTTGCTCGACTCGCTAAATTTTTCAGAATCAGTTTCTTACGGAGTTAAACAGCAGCTGGTTACTTCGCGATTACCTTTGTGATCGAACAATAAAAGTAATCGAGATATAAATGATCAGTCATCGCTGAGATTAATTAACCGATATAAATAACATCTGCAATCTGTAATCTGTAATCGTGAATCAGTAACTTGAAATTCTTCAGCGAAAGGATGCTTTTACTAGCTTTTCTAAGACCACACCTTCTATTGCACCCATTGTGTTTATGCTTGGGCGATAATATGTGTAGGGCGACGCGCCCAATTTGAGTATCATAAATATTTTGATAAGACAAATATTATGATAAGCAAACGATCATTTTTTCAAGTGAAACGTTTATTTATTATTGGACTAACTAGTAACAAATACAAACTTTAGATTGAAATATAGATTAATAGAATTTATTAAACCAATATTTGGACGAACAAAGAAATTTAAAGTCGTGGTTAAAAGCTAGTTTACGAGTGGATCTAACATTTTTATTTTAAAAAACCATCATTTGTCTGGAAGGGGCAAATATTATGATGAGCAAGCAATTTTTCTTAATCATGTTTCTCGAGACTTCAAGATCATTTTTTTAAGAGACGTATATTTATTACCGGACAAAGAAATTTAAAAAGCTAGTTTACGAGCGGATCTAACATTGTTATTTGTTATTTGAGAATAAAATTTGTGTAAATAATCGTTTACCTTGATTCCACAGCAAAATGAGACGGTGATACCGAACGAATACAAAAATTTACCAGTAGTTGGAAAATGTTGTGCGGAGGGTCAGATGCTCGTGGTAAATGAAAACAAGAAATTGGCCTGCGTCGCTTTCGATTCAGCGATCAACCAAACCTTCTCACCTTTCTTCAGCAAGTTCAATGCAAGCGGCTACCAAATTCCCGGTGATCAGTACAGAAAATTCGTTGCGATCATTGGGGATCCTTGCACCTATAAAAGGTAACAATTTCAAACGTTAACTTTAACGATCGCGTTAAATTTATAAGTTTGTCAAGTAATAGAAATAACAAAATATACAGGGTGTTCGGCCACCCCCTGGGAAAAATTTTAATGGGGGATTCTAGAGGTCAAAATAAGACGAAAATCAAGTATACCAATTTGTTGTTGGAGGCTTCGTTAAAAAGTTATTAACGTTTAAAGTTCCGCCAGTACTGAATTTTTTTCTCGAAAATGCGCAGGATTTCGGGGGTATGTCTATTCACCAAAAATGATTGTGATTGACCCCTGCAACCGAAAATAATTTTTCCAGAACGATTTGAAATTTTTTTTTTCGTTGAATAAAGGCACCTAATTAGATTTTCGGTAAGGAATTTTTTTCTCGAAAGTGCCTAGGATTTCGGAGGAATGTGTAATGACCAAAAATGATTGTAATTGACCCCTGCAATCAAAAATAATTTTTTTGGAACGCTTTGAAAAATTTTTTTTCGCCGAAAAATGTCAGCACCTTCTCGAATTTTTGGCTAGAAAGTGAGTAGGATTTGGGGGGTATGCCTATTCACCAAAAATGATTGTAATTGACCCCTGCAACCGAAAATAATTTTTCCAGAACGATTTGAAATTTTTTTTTTCGTTGAATAAAGGCACCTAATTAGATTTTCGGTAAGGAAGTTTTTTTTCGAAAGTGCCTAAGAATTCGGGGGAATGTGTAATGACCAAAAATGATTGCAATTGATCCTTGCAACCGATAATAATTTTTCCAGAACGATTTGAAATTTTTTTTTTCGTCGAAAAATTTAGGCACCATTTTTCATTTGTAATGAATTTGGTTGGCGCTGTAGAGAAAAGTTGTTCAATACTTTTTTGTAGGTATCCATGAACTCTAGTTCTCCCCAGAATTTCAATGAAATATATTCACTATTGTATGAGTTGTGGCTGTTTAAAAATTGGATCATTCTTATGGGGTTTTTCTCATTTTGCGAAGTCAAGGAATAACTTTTCGAAAATTTTTGAAATTTTCACATATTCTTCACCAAAATACGCGTTGTTTGCATTTTGAAACATTAAAATCGTCCAATCCGTTCAGGAATTATGATGTTTCAAAGATGCACATGAAATTTCGGGGAACCATTTTGGGCCTCTGACTATATTTTCGGTAAGGAATTTTTTTCTTGAAAATGGGTAGAATTTCAGGGTTATGTCTATTGACAAAAAATGATTGTAATTGACCCCTGCAACCGAAAATAATTTTTCCAGTACGATTTGAAATTTTTTTTGCGTTGAAAAATTCACACCTTCTCGAATTTTTTCTAAAAAGTGGGTAGGAATTCGGGGGTATGTCTATTCATAAAAAATGATTGTATTTGACCCCCGCAATCGAAAATAATTTCTCCAGATCGATTTGAAATTTTTTAATTTAATTGTTAATAACTTTTTAACGAAGCCTCTAACGAAAAATTGATATTCTTGATTTTCGTCTTATTTTGGTCTCTACAATCTCCCATTAAAATTTTTCTCTAGGTTGGCCGAACACCGTGTATATGTATGTACAGTTGGTAGCCAAATTATACTATTATTAGTCACGAACGGTTGAAATATATTTAAAAGTTGATGGAACAGGTTCCCCCATTTTGGAGTAAAATTATTTTACAAAACATTAATTTCCAGAATTGGAACCTACCACAACAAGATTATTTATTGAATTTTAATATTTACTATTTCAATATATTTGATAATTTTAAATACTTGTAGCGGGTGGTCAGATTATTAGTCACGAACGGTTGAAATATATTTAAAAGTTGATGGAACAGGTTCCCCCATTTTGGATTAAAATTATTTTGCAAAACATTAATTTCTAGGATTGGAACCGATCACAAGATTATTTGTTGAATTTTAATATTTACTATTTCAATATATTTGATAATTTTAAATACTTGTAACGGGTAGTCAAATTATTAGTTACAAATGGTTGAAATATATTTAAAAATTTATGGAACAGGTACTCTCATTGTGGATTAAAATTATTTTGCAAAACGTTAATTAATTAATTTCTAAAGGGGTTTTCCCGTTAATAAACGAATAATAAGTATAATAGTAACTCTTTTGTTATCAGTCCTGATTCTTGTTCAATTTAATTCTGTCTCGAATTATTTAAACGTTTTTCCATAAAATTCATTCCCACTTAATATTAGATGCCAAGAGGTTGTATATTTTCATTCTCAACCATAAAGTTGTTCAGCATTAATAATCGATCGATGAGGTATTATTATAAGATCGGCTATTTCGTTGATCATTTTATCCGCAAGATCTTTCTTTTCAATGCTAACGTAAGCACTTAAATGATATCTATAGACCTGTTTCAAAAGCTAGTGCATACAATTCTGATTATCCTGTTTTTACACTTTTGAAGTTACAAAATATGGTATATTTCTGCCCGTGTCCTTGTGGTACTATTTCGATTGTTTGTGTTAGTCATACGGTTTATTATAGTGGATTATAACTACATTATGTAGTTTGGTTTTAAGAATAGACTTTACGATAATAATTGGGCAGTCTGTACATATTTAGTGAAATATTCGAATCGTCAGCGTATAATATCCCAGTGATTAGGCTAGTTTTCTAATATTAGGATGCTTCAGAAAATATTACGCATTTTAAAAATTTATTTCCACGTGTTTCCATTTTTCAAACTACTTGCAATTAGTCCGCAAGGTTCTGTTATATAAATCTGACGTAGATATACTTATTTTCACACGAAATATTCCACGCAAGAAGAAGACAAAAAGATCGTATGACAATTATAATTAAATGCTTGTCGCAGACTGATCTTGGAACCGGAGATAAGCGAATACGAAAGATATTATTTACTGTTAAACGGATCTGTGTTCATGCCGCGTATGGAGCCGTTCATGTTGAATCCAGGCGTTGATTATTGCATGGAAATCACACCGGAAATGGGACTCACGACTGTGTTGTGCTTATCCGAAGGTAAGCATTCTAAAAGTGTTTCTCAAATATTTGTTGCCTCGTGGTCCCAGCCTTCGCGATTGCTGGTTGAAAATATTTAGTTTCGAACAACAACTTTTCTATTAAAAATCAATTTAAAATTAGTTTTTCTCAACACGTGTCGATAAAAAGTAACAAAACGTCCATAGATATGACAGGTTTCGGGGAAAATACGCGTGCAAACGATATCCGTGAATTTGATATTAAAAGTATTATTCCGCGTTGCCAACATTTGTATTGACTTGAATGGTAATTGTTTCAGACCGCATAGTAGTCACTGCGTCGTCACGATTCACAATTTACGCCTGTGGCCTCTTAATATCCGTGCCATTTTTAATCCTCACTATCGCGGCGTATTCCATCACGCCAAAATTAAGGGACGTCTACGGAAGAGCGCTGTGCCGTTACTGTGGATGCTTAGCGCTGGCTTTCATTATGCTGGCAGTAACGCAACTAGGAAATTCGCAATTGTCGAGCCAAGCGTGCACCAGCATAGGTGAGAATTACTCCAAATGTTGAGATCTCTGCAAAAAGATGATTAAAAAAAGAAAAATTGGAGAAATCAATTAAATGGTGAACACATAATAACTGAGACTAGTGGTTCTACTTACAATCATGCAATATCCGCGAAAGACATCAGTATCAGTACCTAAAACAAAACAGATCACCTATTAAAATCATTGTCAATTGTTTCTTGCAATCAAACATGGCTGCTTTGAGTCGACAATTTTGGCTAGGTAATAGTTTAAAAGGAGACTTCTGGCACTCTCGTTCTCGCATCATATTCTCAAAAGACAGTATCAGTACCTAAAACAAAATAGACCATCTATTAGAATTCTTTGTCAATTGTTTCTTGCAATCAAAAATGGCTGCTTTGAGTCGACAATTTTGGCTAGGTAACAGTTTAAAAGTAGACTTCTGGAACTCTCGTTCTCGCATCATATCTTCAAAAGACAGTATCAGTACCTAAAACAAAATAGACCATCTATTAGAGTTCTTTGTCAATTGTTTTTTGCTATCAAAAATGGCTGCTTTGAGTCGACAATTTTGGCTAAGTAATAGTTTAAAAGTAGACTTCTGGAACTCTTGTTCTCGCATCATATTCTCAAAAGACAGTATCAGTATAATCAGTATAATTGTTTCTTGCAACCAAATATGGCTGTTTCGACTCGACAATTTTAAGTAACAGTTTAAAAGCAGACTTCTGGGACTCTCGTTTTCGGATCAGATTTATTTTTATACGATGCACAGCACGCTTTATGGTATATCATAAAACGGCACGGTGCAACGGGTGATTCCTTTCGAAGCTAGGTACTCATTTGGGACCGATTAAAAAGCAACTTACTTTTTCAGCGTTCGTCATCCAGTTCTCCTTCATCGCCTGTTTCTTCTGGCTGAACGCGATGTGCATCGAGATGTGGTCGCTGGTACGCAGCCACGTGGATCGTGAAACGTACAAGAGAATGAAGCCCAGAACGCTATTCTTTTGGTACTCCTTATGGTGTTGGTGTCCCTCGGTGATACTTACCCTCGTCTCGATGTTTATGGACCTTAATCCGATGATACCTGCAACATACGTCAAGTCGAACTTTGACAAGGAAAACTGTTGGTTCAAACGTAAGTCGAATTTAACGAAATTACGAACGATGAAACGATGCACAGGGTGTCCCAGGAATCATAGTACAGCCAGAAAAGGAGTGATTTTCCCACGCAATCGCGACTTTTACCTATGGAAAAATTTCTTTTTCTTCTTTTTATAAAACTAAAACTATTACACTTTAGAATTCTTACCGTGGAAGATCCATGAAATTTCACAATTCTTAAAAGTTTCATTAAATAAATAAGACACCACAATTATAGTACATTGTAAATTTTAATGGCAATATAATATGGTATTATATACAACATGTATATATAACGATGATTTAACTTTATTCAAAATGGCTTGGTATATATTTCCCTTTATTGATGAGGTTTTAATCTACTCTTTAGATAGATAAAATTGAACAGAGAAAGATGATAAGATTTGTTGCTCGTTGCGTCAGAAAGAATAATAAGCTCGTTGATCGTTCCAAGAAAAATAAAGGTTCGTTTGATGCGAGTAGCAATCTTGAATTAGAAATTATCAACTCAAGAGTACGGAAAACATTACTCGAGTGTGAAAATATGCCTTCCAAAAATACATTTGCAAGATATAGTGATTTCATTCTTCGGTGCTGTGTCTTCTCATTGCATAAAAATCCATGAAATTTTCATTAATCACATAGTACTGATTTACATATGTTGAACAAATGTCATATTAACACAATACTTAATAATATTATTTTACATTTTGCATCAAAATTTACTTATTTAAGAACCAAGTAATTTTCAATTTGACCACGCTACTCAGAGTTGTGCGAAGGTATTTCAATAGACTTCAAGCTTTAATCCTTTGAATGATTTTATAATTGTCTGTTTGAAATGCAAAATTATATCATCTGCACACGCTATTCTTCGTCCAGTAATGTTTGCTTTTCTCTCGTATCTTCTCTACTAAATTCAATTGCATCGTAAACTCGTTAACAATTCGACGGGTGTTTTAGAAGAGCCGGTAGAAAATAAATAATGTCGCTGCTAATACTTGCAAATTCGAATTCGAGAAGAAGTAATGAGAGGATGATAGAATTCACTTCTTAATTTAAATATATCTTCCTCTTCTCTCATCAGGGCTTCTAAAGCTTTAATCACACTTATCCAGAGCTAATTGATAATTACTATTGATATACCATTTTTAATATACCAAACAATAATTCTTTTCTTCGTCATAAGAAGTAATGAGAAGATGATGGAATTCATTTCTTAATTTAAATATATCTTCCCCTTCTCTCGTCAGGGCTTCTAAAGCTTTGATCACACTTATCCGGAGCTAATTGATAATTACTATTGATATACCATTTTTAATATACCAAACAATAATTCCTTTTTTCGTCATAAGAAGTAATGAGAAGGCGATGGAATTCACTTCTTAATTTAAATATATCTTCCTCTTCTCTCGTCAGGGCTTTTAAAGCTTTAATCACACTTATCCAGAGCTAATTGATAATTACTATTGATATACCATTTTTAATATACCAAACAATAATTCTTTTCTTCGTCATAAGAAGTAATGAGAAGATGATGGAATTCATTTCTTAATTTAAATATATCTTCCTCTTCTCTCGTCAGGGCTTTTAAAGCTTTAATCACACTTATCCAGAGCTAATTGATAATTACTATTGATATACCATTTTTAATATACCAAACAATAATTCTTTTCTTCATTATACAGCCGACGTGAAAGCAATGTCATTCTTCTACGTGTCAGTCGGGCTGCTGCTGCTTGGAAACGTGATCCTCTTCGTTCTGACTTTCGTCAAGCTGACGAAATACCAAAAGGATCTCGACTTGAGGCTTCTCGCGAGGAACGAGGAGTCGGATCGACGCGATCGGAGGTTCCTCCGGCGGCTGACAAGAATGGCGTTCGTCAGTTTGATAATATGCTTCCTGTTGGCCATAAACTGGACGATGGACCTGATATCCTGGCTCGTAACCGGAAACACGTTCTCTTGGTCGACGTTCGACGTCGTGAACGCTCTTCAAGGTATTCTTATTTTTAGTATGTTCGTGCTACGAAGACCGCAGAGAGACTTCGTTTGGCACAGGATACAACAGCTTCGAGGTATCGATACCGCGGCACCGGAAGCTGAGAGCATGGAATCGTATTTGCTTCCAATATTGAACGGCGATCCCGCGTCTGCGCAAACGATCATTCCGTGAAGAACAATATCGATCGTTTCACGGTCTGAGCACGCGCGACGAGGGATCGTTGCTAATCTACTGCCTCAAGTTGCTTAAAAGTTCCTTCGAGGAGACGCACACAATTCCGGTGTGGCTTCCTCCGCGATACATCAAGTAGAATTAATGATACTCGACGATTTCGATGCATTTACCTATACAGCATGGAACAGTACAGAAATACTGCAATGCTGCGGTTACGTTTGCAATATAAAAGTTCAACCATAACTTCGTAGTACATATTAATAACACATTATCTGAGATAAGAAAAATGTTACTTGAGTAATAGATAAGAAATACAACCAACGTATAGCGATTTGAGTTTATTCGATCGAACGAATAAACGTTTTTTTTTTCATTTCAAAATATTTCTTTCTAATTCTAATTTTTATTTGAGCAATAACAGATAAATTCGTTGGTCGATACATTTATCTGGACGAGAATTTTCCCCATCTCTGCGTATATAAATATATAGTCTTTTATCAATTTGCTTGTAAATTCAATTAGTATAGAAGTCGGATAAATGTTTTTTAGTTACCTTTGGCTCTCAATAATCTGGTAAAAGAAGATTAGTGACATTAGTTGACTCAAGTTGCCAATGCTTTCTCACTAATTATAAAATGAATACATCAAATATAAGTACATTGATAAAAGGCAATACACAGGGTGTTAGGCCACCCCAGGGAAAAATTTTAATGGGAGATTCTAGAGGCCAAAATAAAACGAAAATCAAGAATACCAATTTGTTGATTTAGGCTTCGTTAAAAAGATATTACAAAATTAAATGAAAAAGTTTCAAATCATTCTGAAAAAATTATTTTTGGTTGCGGGGGATAATTACAATCATTTTTTGTGAATAGGCATACCCCCCAAATCCTACTCATTTTCTAAACAAAAATTCGAGAAGGTGCTGACATTTTTCGGCGAAAAAAAAATTTTTCAAATCGTACTAAAAAAATTATTTTTGGTTGCAGGGGTCAATTACAATCAATTTTTGTGAATAGACATACCCTCGAAATCCTACGCACTTTCGAGAAATAATTCGAGTAGGTGTCAAAATTTTTCGGCGAAACCAAAAAATTTCAAATCGGTTTGGAAAAATTATTTTCTGTTACAAGGGTCGATTACAATCATTTTTGGTCAATAAGCATACCCCCGAAATCTTACCCATTTTCGAGAAAAAAATTCTTTACCGAAAATATACCGTGTGGTCTAAAATGTTTCCCCAAAACCTTAAACGTTAATAACTTTTTAACGAAGCCTCAAACAACAAATTGGTATTTTTGTTTTCGTCTTATTTTGGCCTCTGGATTCTGCCATTAAAATTTTTTCCAGATCTAACCTAACCCTGTATATATAATTTTTGAAAGCTATGTTCAGTAATCTATTAATGAGGAACATTACTGGGATATATATAAAATTGTATCGTATAAAAAAAGCATTACTAATATGATTTATTTTTTATATACTTTACAATTTAAATAATATTGTTGAAAGCGGGAACTGTCAAGTTTTTACTTGTATTTAATTTGTATAAAAATGAAATTGTTGTTAATGTATAAGTAGAAATATAATTTCGTAATATTACGGTTCCCGCAATGGCTCAGCAATATTGTTTGTAATATTGCAGAAACGTTGCTATGACTTGCACATAAACCATAGTAACGTTGTTGTTGCCAGAGATATTTTATCAAATGTGTTCCTACAATGTTCCGTGCTGTATGGGAAATAAGAAACCTCGACCCCATCGAATGTTCGCGTCGGTGAAATAAAACGATAGCTAACATTGCACATATATTTATAATTCATTGTACAAAATGCAACATCAACTATTATCATTCGAACAGCGAAATTGTATAAGAGATACTAATTTCCAGCTGAAAATCGTTTAAAATATAATAATTTATTTTAAAAAAATTCTCATCATTCGATGCAAATTATTTAAATAATTTTCTACGGACGAAAACTTGATTTGTAATTTATACGCGTGCGTTTATACCTTCATATATCCTTCGACGTTTAAGCAATTGCTAATATATCCTCTACTTTGGCTGTGATAGTGTCGCATGCCTTGGCATTTACATTTATCATAATTATAGTCGCGCAGCACCCAGTTTAGATCTCGTTTATTGAAAATATATTGAAATCTTCATCGTTATTTAAAAGTCCAGTTCTAATTTTGCAATTCAACATATGGTTCTGAACTGTTGGCCTCGAGACTGCGTTTAAAATGGATTCATACCACTTTATAGAGGCATTTGTGTTTTTGGACAGAAATAGCATGTTTCCTGGGAATATCTGGTTACATAAAAACATCTGCAACTCGTTTAACAACGTGCAAGTTGTAATGTTTGTATACCGATTGCGTAATGAAAAACAGGATAGGCTGTATTATGATCTTACATTGAGCATTTACATTCGTTGATTCTTGCAGATAATGTTCAAACATTTTTTCACAATTTCTAGATATAGAATCGTCTTTGCGACTACATGACACATCGATAGTTAAAAGCACTTACTATTACTTGTTTCATTGTTCATTCATAATTTACATAAATTCGTATTTTAACGAGTCGTGTATAAAGTAACTTACCAGAAATCGTATTTTCTCTAAAATACGACGTTACCACAGTATTATGGCTAAAGCGTGAATGTTATATTGTTTATAAATATTTTAAAAACTAAATGTATTATTTCTATATCTTACTAAACTTCATGTTCTAGTAGATTAACATTCATTTTAAAGCTATAGGTTTGTACACTAATATTGTATAGCAGCCATATGTTATAATAATTCCGTATTATTTATTTATATTAATAATAAATTATTTCACAATTATAGAAAAAGATACTGTACCCCAATTTTTGTAAATGTAGCACCACAGAAAGAGTGTATGTTATTTATTGTAAAGCTCCTAAGTTATTTGCCTAAATTTAACTTGTCAAATAAATGTTTTCTTATAAATATTTAACTGTTTTCTTTTTTATTGTAATTCCTCGACATGGGATAAAATAATCTGTCTAACACGTAAAAAATATTATTTTTTATTTGCATACCCTTTTATACCACAATATATATTTGTTCAATTTTCTTGCGTTTTTATTTGCGCTATACAAATAAAATAATCGCAGATTTGTACAATCAAACCGCCGCAACTATCTGTCAATCCAATTGGAAGGTTTTTAAACCAACAGTCAATTTTTATCTACGAATGCCCTCATACGCAAGGTGCATAAAATCGTGTTAACACTATCTAATAAACTCTCTCTAAAAAAAAAAAAAGGAAAAACTTAATCACTAGCGTCTTTGGGCAATAGCCCGACAAGAAAAACCAGGTACTAAATGTAACTTTCAAACACTCATAAAGAAACCGATCGTTAGATAACATTTGTGTATGAGTTTGTTTGTTCTATTTCATTAAAATTTTACTGTATTCTTCAGTAGATATTGTATTGTCAGAATTCAGGAATGTTGTCAGTTTTATAAAAACCCATATATATGAAGAAGTTTGTTCGTTCGTATATTAGAAAAAATAAATAAATTAAAACATTCATTTTAATATGTCAATAGTTTAAAGAAACGAACTATTTTAGAAAATGTACGTCATTTACTGAAAGATACAGTAGCAACTGTAATTCTTACTTTAACTGAAGTTACAATTCTAAAAAGTCTTAATGCGTAATTTGCATAATTCACTTTGTCCAATCGTGGTAACTTGTCATACTGTAAAATAGCATCGCACTTAATCTCTTTATGGTCCTCTGATGTATGATATATTGTATATAAGTACATAAATATGTACTATTTTACTTCCCCTAGTGCGTTGTAATTATTTTGAACATTAAAATCGTTCAATACACTTTTTAAAAAATATAAAAGTAAACCCTACTGTAAGCGTGAATAATAATTTAGAGCAACTCGACAGAAGTGTATCAACCCACGTGAATTTCACAACTAAACACGCACATATCGCAAGTATATTCGGCCTATCAGTAACATAATAAACAATCTATTGCGTTTATACTATAGAGTTAAATTGTATTTATCAAGTAGGTCTGTGATGACCTGGAAATGGTGGACTAACGCCTAGAATTCCAATCAGATTCTCTTGTCGTTGAGCAACATAGACCAAGCGATATATTCCTGGTGAACGAAGAGCCGGGCCGCTGAAGTAAATTCGTTCCGTGATCGCGTTAGGCTCGAAAGAAGTTGGAAACGTTTGGCCTAAGATATAACATTTGTTATCCAAAAGACATAGAAAATTAATGAAAAATTTTTATTATATACTGATACGACTCTGGGAGGAAAATGAACAGGTCATGAAAAATAAACACAAATTGAGGGATGAGGTGTATAGATGTTGAGCACGACCAAACCAGAGCAGAAAGAGAGAGGTACAACAGAAACTGCTGGAAGTAGCAGAAACAGAACGAAAAATGGGAAAGTTGAAGTTGGCTATCAGAGATTAAGAATAGAGGGTAAATAGAGTGATTTGAAAAACCAAGGGGAAAGGGGGAACTACCTGACGGAGGACCTCAGTGTTTTTGTAAAACGGAACGAGCTGATAGGAATTGCAAATAAGAAGCTGGAATTCTGGAATTATGTAGATAATTTCGATATTTTAAATATAATAAGAAATACAAATATATTAGAATGGAGGTAGCCGTAGACTGATCGCTAGAGCGAGATGCGTCAATTTGGATGGAAAAGGAGGACAAAAGGTACATCTTATGTAACTATAACTTAATAGGCACACTGAGACACCTATTACAAGACTGCGATAAAATACACAGAAGCAATCTGAAAAAGGAGAATATAATGGAAAGAAGATGCATTATAAAAACAATGGATCCATGCGAGTCAGGATGGCTATCAGATCTCATTAGAGCAACTCGTGTGTAACCGTATAATACATCAGATATTAAGAGTCATTAGTTACAAGTTAGATTATTAAAGTATACGTTTATTGTAATAAGTGGTATGTGATTTGAATCCTGTCCCGATCAATTACTAAATAACAATCCATTAAAAACCTTTGCATCATTAAATCAATAGACAAACTGTTAAAAAAAGTGACTCGTTAAAATGATTAAGGCACATTTAAGGTGCAACTTGATAAACGTGTATGAAGTCTTATTAAAAAAAATTCTTACCTTGACTTACATACTCATAGACAATATATTCATCCAAGCTGGAAAATTCATTATGGAAGAGGCCTATCCAATCACCACTAGAGGGTCTAGCATCTCCCAATAATTTGTATGACACAGAATTTTCTTCGCCTATGAACCATTCTGATATGGGTTGGAACTCTATACCATGATCTTCTACTCCAGACCTAACCTATATACCGAATTATTAAATTTTCTTAACAAATAAACCATCGTCGATTTCAATTTTGTTGTATACCATAAAAAGTATCTTACAATGATATCAAATTCTCCTGTGACGGGTTTATGGTCTGATTGTATATAATTGGAATGACTTTTGTAATTACGCTGGATAGCACTAAGCTTAACATCATCATAAACATCTGCATTCACTTTGTACAAAATTCTATCAGTCCAAGAAGGTCTACGCCTGTTTAACAAATTTTTAATTAAAAAACTTGACAAAAAAATGTTATAAAAATAAAAAATTTATCATACTTGAGATCAAATTCCTGCGAAGCAAATTCGTATTTGTAAGTTGGAGGAAATGTAATAGCACTTTCATCTAACTCGGCAAAAGCATCGCCATTTTGCATCACCATTTTCAACTGATCTTTCTCCAACAAGCATTTTAGTTCATTCTTTTTAACCAATACATCGATATCTGTAGCGGTTAGATTCTCTCCGTTCAGTCGAAAATTTAAGTCCCCAATCCAAAATACATAGCTGTTTAAAAAATTATTTTTAGAATATACATACGAGTTATTGAATGCAATTTGGTCGGACTGTATCGTCAAAACTGCTCAAATGATAAAAATAAGTATAAGGTTAAATTAAATAGTTTAAAATACTCATTTTTTTTTTATAAAAGTAAGACATCACTGTTACACATTTGTGTGCATAAAACTGCAAAGTGCAGATGTTAATATTCGCCGGTTCAGGTTCGCGAAGCGAATATTATCGAGGATAGTAGTGAAAAGGAAGAGTGAAATAATGAAAAATGTTCAACAATGTTCTGTTTTCACAACAGATTCTAAAATTGTTCAATTTTGCATTCAACATTTCTTACACGTGAGAAACAGTTTTGATGATGCAGTCTGTTTTATATCCATGCGACACCTTATACAGGATAAATTAATACATACTCATGGTATAATATTTTCGAAGTATCTGCACAAGTAAAGCTATGATTCGTGAGTATCGTATTGTAATCCGTAATTCTATCTGTCAGTAAATGATCGTGAGGTGTTAAGTGCGTGTTTACAATACACATACTGACACCGTATATATTTAATCTTATGCTAACTGCTCCTTTGTTACCCTAAAAAAAAAAAACAAGTTTCTTATTAGAGAATTTATACGAAACATCATACATTTAAAATATTCTCTTACCCACATGCCTTTGAACCCTGTTCTTGTATACTGAGCTTCGATCAATCTTAAGTGCTGAATGTGTTTTCGCAAGCAAAAACCATTTAAAACAAGTCCTTGTAAACGCTGTGAACGTATTTTTACATAGTCATATTTCTTCAATATTTCCCTATAAGGGAATTACGGTAATTATAATATCTTCAAAAATGAAATCATCAATTCTTATATGTAATAGGATTTATTGCTATAATGCTTTAAACTGTTTAATACACCCACCTAAAAGATTTAGTCCATGGATCTTCAAAGAACATTTCTAATACCATATTCTGTGGCTGGGCTTTCACTTCCTGTAATCTAATGTAATTTATAAGCTTGATTGCTTTTTCCATAATTATAAGTTGCTATATTTTATAAATACCCGATAAAATAGAAATCTGGCAATGTTCTTGACGAAGTACTGTGAGTGAGATCAACAAGTTGGTGTAAATTTTGCTCCGGATGTTTAGTTGCCACATTCCATGTGACGAAATAGATCCTAAAACACACAATAAATATTTACCAATGAGACAATGTACTATAAACTATGAAACATAATTAATAAATAAAATTAAAACTAACATTAAATAGAAACATACTTTTCGCTTGTCATTAAAATTTTAATTTATCATTACTAAAACGAAAGTTCATACGAAATTACTCAAAAATATTAATTAAAAGAGACATATGGTATAAGAAAAAAATGCGATATTTTCGCTTACCTGAGATGTTCCAATTTGTCCGCCATTTCTAATGCACTGTCGTGTTTCTAGTAAAACGATTTCACCAAAAATTTACGCGTCTATATTAGTATTTGAGGTCAGTTTATACTACGGTGACTGTGCAGAATGTTTGCAAATACATTTTTTAGGTTAAGAGATATTATTTATAATGCCAACGCGTGGCTGGATGATTTGATGGTTGTAAACTTTCATTGAAGGATTATTTGTGAACGATCGACTAGACGTTTTACAGAAACTACAAGATTTTTCGTTTTACCGTGCATTAGAGCAGCCATTCAAAGAACCATATTATACACAGCTGATGAGAAATTCTATCTTCCCCACCATCTAATTTCGCCACGTGACGTCAAAGAAGCAACCTGTCGTTTGCTGTCAAACCATTATATGTGTACATATCTACTAATGCAGACGAGGTACTTAAGTATACATGTAGTACTACGCAAATGTGTAATCATTTATTGATAGCGAAGTATAAGTACGACTAAAAGCCTTAATCTATTTCTTACGCAGTTTCATGTACTAAGAGATGGGTAAAATAATATTATAATAAGTAAATAAATATTTCACTTTAAATCGTACATATACCTTTACAAATAAAATATTTTGGTTGTTGGAAAAATTCTTTAAAGTAGTGCTTTATCCGAAGGTTACTGAAAAATATTTGTGTCTTAAAATATGATTAGACATACGATTTAAAAAACGATCAAAATGCTATTCGATTTGGATTTAGGGAAGAAGCTATACACTTGAAGGGTACAAATAAACTTTCATTTTTTCATTGAATTTTATCGAAAACATAATTGTACTTCTGAAGTAAACATTCTGGAGGCATAGTTGTAGTTTTAATGAATTAGAATGTTCTTATAAACCATTGCTTTTTATTTTGATTTATTTAGGCAAAAATAGGCTATGCAAATAAATATCTTGCCCTGAAACTATCAAATATACGGGAGTTGTTCATACGAGCGTAGGTACGTTTTCGCGTGGCAGTGTCTTGCACCTGTAAGTAATTCGATTTGGAGAGCTAAAAAAACGTTAACTTGATCCAAACGGGCTGTACCGTTTGTTCAATTTGCAAAAATACGAGTTACGTGCAGACTCTTTCAATTTTGCACACTGGGGTGAAGAGCGAAGAACCAGTTTAGTTGCTCCCGTAGGAGCTAAAGCAGGCTTCCGGAATAGGGAATAAGCCGCCGGGTTAGGTCTGGGTTAGGTCTCCACGAACACGAAGTGCACCGAATAGGTACTTTCGTGTTCCCACGTAACCCACTATTGGAACGTCTATTCATGGTCCTTATATACAAACCATTGACCAAGCAATAACTAGCGAGAAATGTTATACCTTCATGGCCCTCTAGCGAGAATTATGAAAACGAACAGCTTAGAAACGCGTTTACATACTAGAAGTCGAAATGTTACTGATCAAAATATTCAATCAAATCGTTCAAAATGAATACTTACAGACATATCATAAAAGCTAACGAATTCAATAGGAATATCCAAATGACTTCGCCGATGACTATACTCAGCTATTTTTGTTTAAATGCGAACTCTCGTTTTGGTTAGAATGATCGATGCACAGTCGATTGATTTTTATGTCTTGCTAGACAGTCTTTACGAGGCAAATTCTTCTAAAACCTCTTTTGTTTATGGCTTGTTCGAACAGCGATTTAAACACAATCGTTTGTCACCAAAAATATGTATTAATGGAGAGTCAATATTATTTAGCGTGTAATTAATAATCGTATCACTCTTATCTGGGAAATACCATTATTAATTACGATAGCCTTACAATTAGCGTTAACCACAGTAAAAATTAAATTATATATACACTATATGTATATGTACTGTGTTGCACGTTCCAGAACTGAATACACCTTATTCGAGAAATTGCTTGGATGATATCGGTTATCAGGTTATCACTAATTCATTGACAGATAAAAGTAAGATCGAGGATGTACAATAAAAGTGAATTGAAAATTTCAACATTACTTCTGTCCAGCGCAGAAATCATTTCTCTCTATTTTCGTTCCCAATAAAAATAAATTTTGTTTGTTTTTTATTACAATAGATCATAAGTGTCGTCTGATGGCGGACTCCCCCCTCCCTCTCCCCATTTACAACTAGGGAAAATCAGAATAATTTGAGACAGGGGCAAGCAGATAAAGAGAAATTTTTATTAAGAAGGTTCTTGATCGATTTTTGAACATTATTTTAATTGTCGTATCAATTACTATTTAAATTAAATTAATTATCGTAACCATTATTGTAGCTGACTCAAAGACGTATTTTCTCTCATTGAACCGTTCTGTAATTTCAATCATTTATAAGATACTTGTTTGAATAGAATTTACGTATCAACGTGCCCCGGTTTTGTGTAAAAGATGGAAAGAAAAATAAGGATTATAAAAAATGTCGTAGCTTTATTATAATTTTTCCGCGAAATTCGTTTTCAATTGCTATCGTTTGATTTGTTATCGAAATAATCGAGCGTCGCTTCTACAAAGAAACGCTAACATCTCTAGCGACAGCGGCTTTTTTTATTATTTACAATAACAAGACAAACAAACGGAAATGGTCCGTTGTTTCGTGGCTATCTAATCTAAGAATGTACCGTGCTGCCACGAGAAGAAGGCACAGCGTGTTTACATCCCTGCTCTTGCTGCAGTCCGGTGATTGGCTGTCACCGATCTTCGTCACAGTTTTCGACCAATACCTGTGAGCCAGCGGACTGCAACTGGAATGGGGATGTACACATGCTGTGCCTTCTTCTCGTGGAAGAATGGTAGGAATGGAGTTCTCTTATCGAATTCGCGAACATTCGCGCGACAGAGTTTCCGGGACATTATCAGTACATCATCCCCGGATGAGCTGCTCGTTGAAAAAATACATTCGGGTTCGCCGACAGTGTTGTGTATAAGTTTCCTGCGTCTTCTGGCCTTAAGTACATGCCGGGCGGCAAAACGAATGTCTCCATCGGCCCGTGAACATCTGCGACATTCAAATATTTCAATTTTAATTACATTCGCCAAAGAACTTAATACTAGTAGTGTTACCGATATTATTAATATTGTTTTTTCCATTCCTATCGTTAATAGTTACAGCTAGTCAGTGACGACACAACAGGAGGGAGGACCCCACCATTCACCAAAAAAATCTATTATCTAAATTTTAATTGATTCTAGCAATTTCTTAAATCATTGACAAATCATCAAGTATTAATAATAAGTGTTTATAAAATTATTCTTACATATATCTGCTGATTAGCTTCACACTTTTTATAATGTGGTACTTTTCTGATCGCAAAAGTGGCATTCGATCAATTTCACTTTGATTTAACTACTTTCCTCGACCCGTTTCTGAACACTGTTTCTAGTCTAATTATAGTATTGATACTATCGCGATAGAGTTATTTACGTTTAATACTGTGTCTATTTCGATTGCTGTCTACGAAGAATATAAAAAGTAAAACCATTTCGAGCTAGCATTTATTTTAGGTATGTTTAGTTACTGTTTACGTTTGCTTTTGCCAACTTCACTGTTACATGCTCTGCATAATCGATTCACTTCCAACGTATTCGTTTATAATCATTGAGTATCGAAATGTTTTATTTCAGAATTTATATTTACTATTTATAAAAATCGTGTGATATTCAAACAAATTTTAATACGCATCAAATATTCTTTTTTTAATATTTTAAAAATAAAATGCTAGATAATGGATTGAGAAGATACACAATCTGAGATATAGTATACCAAACGAACGGGAACGTCCGAAAATGGACGACGACGAACGAACGTGAAAACAAAGCACGAACGCGGGAAAAAGAAAAACATCAGATCGAACGACAAGAAGAAAGCGTGAATACGTATAAGAATCGTGTGCATTATATATTTCGGTTAATAAAATTTGTGCATGTGTAATTAATAGCCATTCTGTTCCTCAAATTACAATAATATATTATAAAAACTATTGAAGAGAGCGTAGAACAAAATATATATGCATTCTTCTATTTTATAGGTTACGGTAAACTGTGCTTTGTCATTTTGTCCTGACACTATACATTGCATCCACGTATGTTTGAGTGAAACTAGAAATGATTCTGACACAAACTATAATATATCCACCTTTTCACTATTGACAAATTTCATTTTGTTCTTTCCCACAACGATTTACGATACTTTCAGTAAATCGTGGAAACAGTTTCATACATGTAGAAAGTTGTAACAATCTACTGTGTTGAGAGAAATTATCTGGCAAACGTTGTTCTTTATTTCTGGATGTTACTAGCCTGTACTCATTTTACTACATCAGATCAGAGACGCAAAATTCAGCAAAATTTAATTCGAATAATAAATAAGCTACAAAAAATGTTTATCTGTCCGTGATAAAATTCATTTTATAATTGACAATTTCCTTTTTTAATTTTCCTAAACGCCGTGTTAATTAGATTTAAGAGATTATCTTGTCTTTTCTCATTAAAATAAAATTAACTTTCCTATATTTACCCATTTTGAAACTTACTATTGAGGCCCTTAGATTTAAAATCTAAATGAAAATTGTTATTTGGCCCTATCGAAACTTGTTATTAACTTAATGATAAAAGTACTGTGAATTCCCTTATTTTATCGATCAAGCAATGGAGTATGATTTTTTCAACGAATAAACATTCGTATCGTTTTTTAATTGAAATATATGTAAATTATTATTCATTTATTGCAAAAAAAATCGTAATTGTGCCCGTTAAGTTAATTAGATAATTTATTATTCTCATTTATTAAACACAATGGTTTTTATAAATATTGAAGAAAATCTGCGATTATTCTGACTCGAATACTGTATATAATTATTTAAAACTATACTTTACTTATCGAGTAGTATGCAGATGTATCATTAGTTTCTCAGTGCCCTGGGGTATTTGTAATATTTGAAAGTTTTGTAAATAAATTTTGATAAAAACATTTGTAACATACCAAGATAAAAGTCCCATTAACAAACGGCACAATTACTCTGCAAATCTAACCGCGATACGAAGTGGGTCACACCTGTCACACTTTTCACAACCTTATAATTATTCGAAAGTTTCTTGAAACGGACGAGTAATTTTATTATCTTTGAAATCGAATCGCTAGGAAGAGGTAATAGAAACAGGATGAAATGGACCAATAGCTTCTAGTAAGAGGAAGTTTATTCTTGTGACTAATGAGAAACTTAATGAAATCATTAGACTATACAGGGTGTTCGGTCACCCATGAAAAAATTTTAATGGGGGATTCTAGAGGCCAAAATAAGACGAAAATCAAGAATACCAATTTGTTGATGGAGGCTTCGTTAAAACGTTATTAACAATTAAATTCAAAAATTTCAAATCGTTCTGGAAATATTATTTTCGGTTACAGGGGTCAATTACAATCATTTTTGGTGAATACACATACCTCCGAAATCCTATCCACTTTCGAGAAAAAAAAACGGGTAGGTGATGAAATTTTTCGGCGAAAAAAAAATTTGTCAAATCGATCTAAAAAAATTATTTTCGATTGCGGGGGGTCAATTAGAATCATTTTTGTTCATTATACATATCCCCGAAATCCTACGCACTTTTTAGACAAAATTCGAGAAGGTGTGAAATTTTTCGACGGAAAAAAAATTTCAAATCGTTCTAAAAAAATTATTTTCGGTTGCAGGGGTCAATTACAATCATTTTTGGTGAATATACATACCCCCTAAATCTTGCGCATTTTGGAGAAAAAAATTCAGTACGGGCGGAACTTTAAACGTTAATAACTTTTTAACGAAGGCTCAGTCAAGAAATTGATATTCTTGATTTTCCTCTTATTTTGGCCTGTAGAATCTCCCATTAAAATTTTTTCCCAGGGTTGGTTGAACACCCTGTATAATGTATACAACCATAATCTTTATGTTATTATTACTATGCGTTATCTTAATAAAGAAATATGGAGGGAAGCGGAGAACTGATAACAAAAGCTACACGTTGAAAAATGCATTCAGTATTTTTATACTATAAGCAGACGGAAATTCCGGAAGAACCGGATTTTTAAAAAACAAGTAGAAAAAAAATGTTATTCCAGATTTTTTATTTCCTTTTTGCATAAAGAATCGCCCACTTCCTGGTTGTACCACAATTACCGAGGTACCAGCATAAAATTTAAATAAAAATGCTGTTGAACCAAGATCTCGATGGAACTTTTAATAATAAGGAAACATCTGATTTGTAAAGTTGATCGTGTAGCCATAAAGTGACGCGGTTGGAAATTATGATTACTACAACCGGTGTCATAAACGAGCGGATGGTTTATGCCTAGCAGGCTGGCGACCTTTGCCTCGCAATTTGTAGTATATTCCACGCCCTACTCGTAATAATGGGCATTACGTTAAGGAGATGTATTACGAAGTATAGTTACTTGTTACATTCTGCATTTAAAAATTCCCAATTATAATTCTTTTTTTTTTTACATAGTACAGTGTCCAAACTGATACCAAGATTGCCAATTTTGACAAGGTAATCTTTATTCAAAGATTTCGACTAGTTAATTTAAAATAAATACAGGTAGAATAATATACAAATTGGTTTTTGTTTTTTTTTTATAATCATTTCGAATTTTAATCTTCATAACTATTTTTATTTTTAATCGCATCTAACCTTCGTAACACGTCTGTTAATAGCCCCTATGAGATTTAAATGGATATTTTGCCTTTATGATGCAACCATTTTTTTTTTTTGAGTTAGGTTATAGCCACAGTGTATTTAATAATTTTCTGGTTTTATTAATTTCATATAAGTAGTACAGCACAAGAACGTTCTCGAAAACTGTATATTGATTCTAGCTTGGAATATTTAAACTATTAATTGGAGAACGTTGAACAAATTCAGAGAGCATCTAATAATATTAGTAAATAAACCTAAAAAAGTTCACGTTCGTAGTTTCTACACTTTTCGTTAAAAAAATTCTGAAAATTCAAGAGTTCAATATCTTTGAAACTATTATTTTTTGGATAAATGTTTATGATGACCTTTCCTTTTTTTTTAAGCGTACTATAAATCCTTACACTTTCTTTGTACAGTTTATTTACACCTTGACAGAAAAACATACAGTGACATTTACGACCAAAGAATAATCTATCTACAGTAGTAATAAAATTGAGTAGAGGATCTTTGTCTATAACGACATCAATAAAATGGGAAACTACTGAACGTAAAGTTGTAAAATTTTACCGTTATCTTGCAATTGAAAAGGAACAGGATTCGATAAAGGCTTTACTTGTAATTTCGAATACTGTTTCAATAATTCATTTAAATGTTCAAAATTCCATGCAAAAGTTGTTATATTTCACATTCGATTCTGCATAATTATTTGATTATTAAACTATGCAAACTTTTGCAGAAATGGAGTTATTTCGTATACTAATTTACCCTTTTTCGTATTTATTTAACAGTTACTCGTGTAAATGTTTTATTAAAATAAATTAATAATAGATTTTGCCTGTCTTCAAAATAAACTATATGTAACTAATATAATATGTTCATTTTGTATATATTTACATAATCATTGTTGCCTATATTAATTGTTGCAGAACTGAGTTAAAAATGTATACTTGTTTATAGATTCATTTAGATTCACTGCAGAATCGTAAAGTAAATTAAAATATTCATAATTATTGATTGAAAATAAATCGTTGCAAAGTAGAGAATGTACGATGATTATGTTCGTTACGAAAGATAAAATTGCGTATCTGTTCTCGTAAAAAAGTTCGATCATTCACCGACAAGAGGACACCGATTAACTAGCGTCGTCTGATCTAACGGGATCCATTTCCCCTTCCAGTTTAATTCTCGGAGAAGCGCTTGACCTCCGCCTCGAAACTTTCTCCCTCTCCACCTTTCCAGCACGAGGTTTTTCCTCCCTTTCGTTCGTTCCTCGAGGTGAAGGTCGCTAGAGGCGACGCCGTAACGGAGGAAAAGCTTGGTAGGAGAATATACCGAGTAAACGAACCCAGGAATTTCCTGGACGACTTTACGAAGCGTGTTATTTTTATCTCTAGTTCGACGCTATAGTCGAGCACAAGAAACCATCTGAAAAAGTTTCCACGGTCGGGAACCCCCACTCTCCTACCCCTTTTATTCCAAATTCTTACTAATTCTCAACAATAATATTCGTCAATATAAAGACCTTAAAATTGCATTATTTTTCTACTCAAAGTTTCTCGCATTAGTAAAAAACTGAGCCATTCTTTTACCTCTTTTATTTCAAACTTTCTCTAATATCTATTACTATAAAAAGCTTGAAATTGAATTATGTATTTTGTTCCTTTGAGCTTTTTTTAATTTGTTAATTCTTGCAAAATTTTATTTTTCCATACAAAATGCCGATCGATCGAGTAAATCTAAACCCGTGGAATGCTTCGTGGAATTTTTGTCATAGGTTTGGTAAAAGCTAAATCTTGCGTGTCTATAAATACTTGAGCGTCCACGTTAAGTTAGTGTAATCGATAATACCGGTATTTAATAACTAGCTAATTTCTGAAAAGCCTTACCGTCGGAATATATGGGGCTTCCACCGTGCCTGCAGGCAGTACATCCAGGTATAGCGGATGAGACTAATGCCACACGATCTATAATTCAAAGCACATCGATACGATACAGTTAACACAATGTTAAAAATAGTAATATTTTCTTACATTATACGCCCGTTGCATAAACATGTTTTACGGCATTATGTTTATGAAATATTAATTACGTGGGTTCATTTACGTGCAACTTTAGCGGCAACGTCATTATACGCGATATATACAACACCATTTACGTAAGAAACATCTCAATTAAGTCTCCTTACTTTTCGGTATTTCGCTGTGGCGTACGTGGCACATTCGCTCCGGTAATTAGTATGTACAGTAATTAAACAATAAAAATCGATACTTTATTTTCATGCTCAGTTTTTACGAAGGAAGTGCACATAACGTTAATAGAGTACCGAACGAGCGAAACGGGACGAGAATCACGGATACTAAAGAGAAATATAATCCTAGAAGGCGCTTGAGAACACATCTGAGACTACTTGTTCGACAAAAAGAAAAGAAAACCATGAAATCACCGTTGCGTGTATTTGAGGTTTAGGTCTTGAAAAACATTTTTTGTTGACATTAATCGTTTTAGTGTTGCAGGCACAAGCTTTTGCGATGAACGCCTTTGGGCGTACTTAACAGACGTGACTGGAAAATTTCCGCACGCGGGATCTGTTGAACTTTGAATCTTATAATTTTTCGTTTTAACGCTATTATACGATACAAATTGTAAGTACAGAGATTATTAGGACTTGTTTCAAAGAATATTTGCCCGTGTGAAAGTGAATATGATCTTGCTTAGATATTCTACTTTGAGATGCAATATAAATAAATGCAATATGAATATACCAGCACTGTGATAATGCAGCTTTCTCTTCAAAGAAGCCTCGGCTGGTTTAAAGTGGAAGAAGGATGGCGAGTAACCGCTGCCAGGAAGCGAGCTGAGAGCATCGTCTCGATCACGAATCACCGTATCAGGAGCTTCTCGGCCAAGGGCAGCCAACTGCCGACCCTTAGGCAGGAACATCGTCAGGAACACGAGGAGGGAAGTGGTCAATAAACCATAAGCTAACCAGGCCTCTCTGTCGCTCTCCGAGGAAGCTGCCACTGAACCGATCGCGCTCGATATCCAAATCGACAGCGACAAACCAACAGCAAGGCCGATAAACGCTGCTTCACGGTTGTTGTCTCTAACACCGCGTGCTCGAACTGCTAAACAAGCTACTGCGACCAGCAGCGCGCCAGGATACCTGAAACCGAACAATTGAGTACTCAATCTCTTTAAAAATATCAGAAGCGGGTACAATTTTAATAAATCCAGCTGTTTGGGCTTCGGTGAGACCGCGTTTTTAGTCAAGGCCAGCATGGGCAACAGTTAGAATTTCGTTGATAGAACAAAGTGTCATAAACTTGGTCGGCGAAGGCAGTCTCGTGTGGTTGCAACCCCAGCGGTTGCCATATCCATCTTGGACGCCAAGCTACATTGGCATCGTTGCACCTCCGCCATGGAAACTCTTGGTGGAAGAGGGTGCAAAAGGCCAACGCCTTGGAAAAGCGGCAGAACGCCGTCACTTCGTTTTTGGTTTTCAAACACTTGGGTTTTAGCATAGAACCAAATCACTTCCTCTAGCATTTTGAACACTTCGTCTTTAGCACAGACACTAGCTTAGACTCGGTCACGTGTATTGTTTCGTTGAGTTTTAATAAATATAGAAAACCAATTCGTCTAGTTAGTCCCTTGAAGAAGGGTGATCCTTCGAGCTTAGTTTTAGTCGGTACACCACGTGTAATCTTTCAATATCCGAACGAGCCCGTCTCAACCATTAAACACCAGCAATGGATATTGGTAAACGCAACTTTTTTCGTAAATTAAGCACTCAAGGTATTCAAATTCATGTAAGAGTCGAGACAAGCGATCATATACGGGATCGAAGAGAACAGTTAACTTTTATTTCTTATAACACGTCTTTAAACAAATATTTGTGGAGTCCTGTTGATGAGATGGAAAAGGAAAGGAGAGCCAGGAGAATGGGTAGCTGGTCGAAAAGCGTATACATATGTACAAACGGAAGGTTGGTTGGAAGGTTGAAACAAATTCATTATGTTTATCGTCATTACGTAATACTGGAAACGGTTTTTAAACGCGAAGTAGCTTTTTGATGTTCCAAATCTAAGTGTTTTAAAGAATCTGTGAATTGTCTGTTGATAAAGACAGGATACTTATTCAGAGTAATGCTTCTCTAGAACTGAGAAAATTAGTGTCGGTGGAAGGTTTACATTTCAAAAGTTTACCCGAGGGAAGCCACTATCTGCCCAAGTGGAGTTTTGCAGCATGGGGCTGAAGAGATTTGTCCCGTGGTTTGTGCCTGGACCACGGCAGGCGGTTCGCCGTAAAACCATTGTCCAATGATGACTACCTGCACCAATACCGCGAATCCCAATACTAACGCCTGCAACGAGAAAAATAAAACGGTCAATCTCATATATCATTATCCTTATACAAAAATTGAGAATCAAACGAAATTAAACATTCCCCCTATATTAGAACAACTCGATTCCAGATAAAAAATCTAGAGTAAAAATACCGAATTTAATTTACATTTCCAATATGGTAGCTCGTAATATCTTAAGAAGCAATGAAAATCAGAATTATTTAGATGGAAAATAAATCAAGGGTAAGTATTCAAATAAATTTTACTAAATTCTGGAAAGTATACTCATTCGTATCTATAAATTTGTAATAGCATTTGCTAAACGTTTGGCTACAGCACCGATCCGCAACAATCGTTACAACACGATCTTCTTAAGTACGAATGGAACGGAACGTTAGTTTCGCTCGATCGACGATAGGGTGTAATTAATATTACGACGTTCTTAATTCATGATATCCTCTTAACGCTTGTCCGCCGTACAACAATTTATCTACGAGCGAGTAATTACTTAGGGTAGGCATAATAATCATTGAACGTACGTCAACATAATCAGAAAATATTATACAGCCGGAAGAGGCCCGGGTTGTATTTTTCTAACAACCTATTTTATAAACTGGTTTTCCACTCTTATCGTTGCTTCCTTTGATGCGCGCGATCACGCCTACCGATGATGAGCAACGAAACAAAACACGTTGAATCCGTTACGCGGGGCAGAAAACATATCGGAAATATTAATGTTATTCGACGTAGGACGGGACTTACTTTACGACCGCGACAGCTGCACTTACTGCTATTACTAGCGGGCGTTACTACTGCGTTACTTTTCATTCAGTTCCCGTCCCGCGCGTACAAATAGATCGGGATCGACATCCGGATCTCCGGCGCAACGAAATAAGAAAAATCCCGTGTATCCTCCGCGGAGAGTCGTTCCACGAGTTTCTACCGTCCGTTTTCTAAAGTCGCATTCACAACGGGACGAGAGAGGAACTTTCAATTTGGTTTCGATCCCTATTTTGGGAAAATACGAACAAAAAAGATCCCAACATTAATGACCTTCATATATGTGATCAAGGTCATAGTACTAAATTGTTTATTGAAAAATTGTACAAAATAGAATACACTGTAAATAATGAAAAGGTTTAAGAGAAATAAATATATAAATAATAATATAAAATAAAACATTATTATACAGGGTGTTCAAAAAGTTTCGGACCAAACTTGCACTACGTGTTACTGGCGTCAAATAGACGAAAAAAGTTCGTATAACTTTATGTCCGAAAATGCTTCATTGAAAAGATATTTATGATTTATTGTGGCAGTCGTAAGAAATGTTCAATCGAGAATGTATTCGAAATGCATTTATTCCAATACAGATGAAATATTTGAAAGAGTTCGACAATAACTAAATCGACGAATGGACGCCTATACTATCCAATAACTTATCTTACACGTGTCACAGTAAATCATAAAAACCTTTAAAAACTTATACAAACTTTTTTCATCTATTTGACATCAGCAATACGCGGTTTAAGTTTGGTTTCATACTTATCGAACACCCTGTATATTAAATGTAATTTTATTTACATGGTGCTTGGACTCGTTCGAACCGGAAGAATCCCAGAAACGCGTCGGTATAGTTTTTAAAACGGTAAGATGAAAAGTACGGGAATTAAAAATGTTCCTTATTGCATGATTTCTCGCGATTAATGTTTTCTGCTGGGCTCGGTTTCGCTGAGCTCGCGACGCGAAATCCGAGTGGATGACCGTGGAAAATTAACCGTGCGGATTTTTAGCGAAAGTTTAGCGTGCATTGGGTTAATAAAATATATTCAAACTCACTTGATACGGTGCTGGTAGATAGATGCCGCTATTTAAAGAAAGTAAGAAGACGCACTTAACCAGAAGTGCCGCAAATACGAGTGCTGCGGGTAAACCGACTAGTCGAAATGCTGCGCAGGATAGAGGATTTTGACTTAGGGACGCGGCTGCTGAGAGTCCTGCCAGGAGGAAGAGGCCTAAAAGAAGAGCTTGTCCCAGAAACAAATGTCGTCTGTTCGGTGCTGTTACTCTTGCCTGAAAAATATTATCAAATACGTTTCTCGTTAGCTGTATATTCACCCAAATATTTCTTTCGTTAACCGCCATCTTTGTTCACTGCTAAGCAAACGTAGACCGAGTTTGACGAACAGAAATCTGAATAAAGAAACAAGTAGAAAAGACAGAATAAATAAAGAATAGAAATGAGTTTGTAAATTGTATCGAGTATGCGTGCGATAGAGTCGAATTAGACAGTAGAAGCAGAAACAGCGAGTAATGGACGGACGTGTCAGCCAAATCGTAATAGAGTTCGATTTGGATATAGATGGAAGTAAAAATGGCGAGCAATATGCAGACAGGACATAGCTTATGAGTTGCAACTATTGTAGTTGATTCTGTATTGATATTTAATAAAGACAGAGTTTCGTTTAAGACTTTCTGCGAGCCCCATTAAAAGGATGTGCGTGATGTTCGGATACAAGTTCACAAGTATGCTCTAATTTTTCCCCCTTCGGCGAGGAAAACCTAAATATGGCGATCAGAAAGTACCTCTTTGTACGTTTCAAGGCTGACTCTTAATCACGTTTCTCTGTTTTTGTCGTATTAATTTCCGACAGGGCAGAAACATACCTATAACGAGGCTTATCGCGTGCCAAATTAGCTGTATCGTAGTTCGTTGCGTGCCTTGATTCGATTATAAACAAGGCACGGTAATTATATAGATTAATTTCGCTAATTGTAATGTCTGAAAATATACCGCGATAAGAATAACGAATAACGTTTCATTCGTGACGTCGTGAATGATTTTATGAGTTTGTTCGAATAATGTGGCGGACGAATATATTATGATCGCTTATCTATATGATGTATAAATCATTCATTATGCAAGCGATATGTAGCACACGCGTAGTGTGTTTGTGTAATAAGTAATATATAATATAATTAAATAATATATAATTATTAACTATACATAATATAATTAAAAGATAACTTAGACGATTTGAATTTGTTAATTTTTAGTTGCACCCCTGTTATTAAAACAGGATGGTATATTTTTTTAGGCATCTGCAATTTATAAAAAGTTATGAAGAAAATGTATGAAGTTAACGGTCATAACTATGAAACGTGAAAATTGAAATCCTATCGTAAGATATTACGATGTAAATATTATAATATCGTGGTACTTTGGGTCTAATAGAACCGTGCTTTATCAAAATTTTAGTTGTCGAAAGAATTATATATTTGACTCTCGTTTGCCATTTTCCTTTCTGGGTGCATCGTCGAGACTATCCTTGACTGCCAGATCAAACCTGTTAAATTTTGTTTTTAGATGATCGAAAACTCGTTGAAACGTATGAGTACTGTTTGGATTGTTTTTATTTATCCTCTCACAGTTGCGAATTAATTTTTTTCAGCTCGATTACGCGTTAATCGTTCTGTTCTAAACAGGAGCAGAAGGAAGTTGGCTCGTAGATGGCAACGTAACGGTAGCATTAAAGGTGGTATAAATATCGAGTTTGGTATCGGAAACTTTCTTGGCGGCTCCTGTTCAATGGAGTGTATCGGTCCGAGCAGACGACACGGAAAGGAGAAATAGGCAATCGACATGCAAACTAGGCCTAGGTCTCGGCGAAATTGCGAACGTGCTGGTTATTGGAGCTTGTCGCGAACGAAAACAATTACCATGGATTCTCGTAGAAGCTGGCCACGTGTAGTCCAGGAGAGAACGAGATACAGATTCTTTTGCAAGCTCTATTAACTCCTAGCTTCCTCAAATCTCCATTACAGGACGATTATACGACCACGGAAATCTGTCTCGTATCATTGAACGCGACAGAATCGTACAACACGATCTGCTTTTTTCCAACACGTGTCAAAGAAATCTACTTCGCGCTCGACTTCCGGCGATCAAGTAGCTGATTTATAAATTAAATTTTATAACAGCCATTCTATTTAAATTTCAAAGTAATTTCGCTCGTAATTTATCGCACCGTTGCTACACGCATTGGCGAAAACTGGTTTATATCCTTCGAGGGAACATTCGTGTAGTTATTATGCTTTTCTGAACTATTCTTTAAAGGCAACATTATAATGTACTCCTGTAATTGCGGGACTCGAAAATGTAGAGCTTACGATCATTTTCGTTACTTATTTCTGTCACTGGATTAAACGAAACAAACTATTTTCTGTTGACCAAATTACGATTTACAGAAAAAAGAAATAATATATCCCTATTTTGTTTGATGAAATATATGTACAGTAAAATTACGATTACACCGCAAATTCGGGACTGGACCAATGCCGGATAATTGGATTATACCTACATATGAAGTGATAACAACGAGGAATTGGACCATTTTTATGGAGTTTTTCTCATTTTACGGGAAACAGCTTTTATAATATTCTTGAAATTTCTAAATATTCTTCACCAAACTACGCGTTGTTTGCATTTACAAACATTAAAATCCTTAAATCCAATCAGAAGTTACGATTTTTTTAAACATACGTATGACAGTTCGGGGAAACATTTCTGGCCATACATTATATTTGCGGTAAGGAATTTTTTTCTTGAATATGGTTAGGATTTTGGGGGTATGTCTATTCACCAAAAATGATTGTAATTGACCCCCGTTGCCAAAAATAATTTTTTCAGAACGATTTGAAATTTTTAATTTTGTCGAAAAATTTCACACCTTCTCGAATTTTTTTCTAGAAAATAGGTAGGATTTTTGGGGTATGTCTATTCACCAAAAATGCTTGTAATTGGCCCCTGTAACTAAATATAATTTTTGTAGTATGATTTGAAATTTTTTTATTTCGTCTAAAAATTTCAGTACATATTCGAATTTTTTTCTAGAAAATGGGTAGGATTTCGGGGGTATGACTATTGACTAAAAATGATTGTAATTGACCCCCGCAACCGAAAATAATTTTTCCAGAATGATTTAAAATTTTTTTTTCGTTGAGACAGTTTTTGGTCCTAGTGGTTGTCATTCACAAAACTGTGATGCTGTCGATACGTCAGTAAGTAGAGTTTCTCGTACTGAGTGAGAACCAGTATCGCGTACACGCAGCTGTTCGCAGGTTGCCGTCTTACAGGCGTAATTTAAAACATTAACATCTTTTTAACGAAGGCTCAGTCAAGAAATTGATATTCTTAATTTTCGTCTTATTTTGGCCTCTAGAATCTCCCATTAAACTTTTGCCGTATAGATACCGAACACCCTATATAGGTTTAGAATAGAGACAATTTCATTCGGATAAAAATAAGATCAACGTACAGGAATTTATTAAAGTAATAACGAGGATCGTACGAATTGTTTTCTCTCCATTACTCGAAATCTTTTTATCTAGACAAGAATGTTTGATTCGCAACGTATAGTTATTAAAACACCTCTTTCGGTAATCCCGTAATTAACGTTAATCAATATAAATTTCGTAAAATGTCGGATGCATAAATTGGGTTGTAAAGTGTTAAGTGGTAGCAATTATGAACCGTTTCCCGAGAACGTTCCCCCGAGTTCTCTATGACTTCGTTCCTGCAGTCTGGACGTCGGGCGCGCGATGTGATCAGTTTGGAAAATGTTGTAAAGGTAAACGAACCGACCTTGAGCAGTACGAAAACCTCGAAGCCAGCCATGAGGAGCATCGTGGCCGCGCTAAGGGCCGCCAGAGGAAGAGCCCAGGGTCGTTGTCTGAGCAAGGACCTCGGGTACGGTTGAGTATCGGACTCGATCTCCTGGCTCTTTTTCCCAGGCATCCTGAACACCGAAACCGTCCTGTTCGGCGCCGGTACGCTGATGACACTCGCCACGCTGGCCAAACCATTCTTGTCCATCGCCACGTCGCTGGGCACCAGGAAGAATTCCGTCGACAGCTCGTAGTCCCTCGAGGCTTGGGCCCGTATCGCCGTAGTTCCGGTTGGACCGAGCCAGCTTGCCGTGGCCCACGACAGGATAATCGGACTCAGTCTCATCGCGTCATCCGTACTTCCGTGGTTTGTCTCTGTGTGTATGGCTTTTTTTTTTTTCTTTCCTTTTTCCAAGTTTCTACAGCGTCACCGGGACATGCACCGTTTCCTGCGTAAGCGCATCCTTATGCGCCCACTTCTCTTTACTCGGAGGTATAGCGCACCTGCAATTACGATTCGCCTTGGTAATTAAGGCTCGTCGGTCCATTCGGCCGGATTTAGGTGCCGGTTAAAACCGTGAATCGACACGGTGGCGGTACGTTTGTCAACAACTTCGACACGCGGCGCGTTCATAATCAGGACGATTAAAGTCGTGGGAGGAATTGTCTTGAATTTTATGTTTCCGACGAGTCGATATGGCGGATCTAGGCTCGTCGGGCCGTGAAGCTATCGTTTCAAGGGGCGGAATTCTCCTGTAACAGCGTTAAAATTTAATGTCCCCTTCTTTATCTGTTTCGTAAAGAATCAAAAGTTCTATCATATTAGGCTTTTAGGGGCATAAAGGGGGACCCTTAAATTTGACGAAAATATTGTTTTAGTTCATTTTTTATTATCTTTTATTAAATAGTAGTTGATCCTATCCGTAGTGGACCTACTTTAAACAAAAAGTATAGAAAATTTAAGAAACTATAGCATTTTGAAGACAAAATTTCTATACCAAACAAAAATGCTGCAGTTTTTTAAATTTTCCAAATTTTTTGTTTAAAATAGGTTCAGTACCTGTAGAGACCAACCAGCTTTAAGAAAATAACAAAAAAAAAATAATGATAATTTACAAAATGGCAACACTTTAAATTTTGAATACCGATTTTCTTGGCTTATTACAAGTTTAGCGAGTTAAAAAAACAATAAAGAAAATTCTTTTTTTTTTATCATTTTGGTTCACATCATCGTCACAATCATACTAATCATGAATCCTTTTCATTTTTTCAGTTAAGCAGAATGATCGGAACCTTCTTCAATGACATACAATACAGTCAGTTTTGATTATTTTCACTTGAAAAAAGTTGTGAACATTCGTAAAACATAAATAAATACGTATGAAAAATTAAGAAACTTATACTTATTTTGTAAAAGAATTCTTTAAAAGACCAAAAAATGAAACTCTAGACTAGAACATCCCTCTAAGAATGTACTGTTAAATTTTTAAAGAAAAATTTTAAGTATTGTTCAAGTAATATTTCCAAAAATTTAGTATAATATTCCACGCATTACTAGCTTAGCATTATTCTTATATTTTTATGCTGAATATATCATAGTTTTTTTATTATAAATTCTGAAATTTTCACTTTTAGCATTCGCCATTTTGTCAATTGTCAATATAAACTATTTATTTCGGCAGGGACGATAACCATAAACATACTAATTCAGAATCTTAATTAAGAAGTTTTTGATTTTAGACCACCCTGACAGCTCTCCAATTATCTACACCAGTGACACATGATTTTAAAATATGTATTTATTGAAAGCGTGATATCAATAAAAAGCAATAACTTAAAACTGTATAAAAAATATAAATGCATGACTAAAATGTAATTAAATGAACTGCAAAAAAGAGTCACAACGTTAGGTATAGCATTCGCTTTAAAAAAATTCATGAAAATTGCTAAATTTCGCTACCCTTTAAGGGTGCATCTTCCTTTTCTAAAATGTTTTATGGAGGGCAAATATCATTATAAAACTATATTTATGTTTTTATTAATTTTTATTGTTGCTACTAGACCTTTTATTAGTCATTTTTACTCAAACTATATAACCAAAAATATCACTTTTTATTCAATTTGTGAAAATGCACGTATATCACAAATAAATTTACAAACTCGAAATGTTACTTAAAATTTGGAAAATATTGAACAAGAACAACAACAAAATTTGTCTTCTATGCCCCGAGTACTAGATAGATTAAAAAATTAAGGAACAAGGGGCTCTTGGGGGCCCGAAATCTGCATAGAATACATTTCCATCGATTCTTCAATATTCACGAGTCAAAGAAACTTAATTAACATTGCTGAACATACAACAGTTCGTAAACATAATTACCGGTTGCATTATAAACTTCAGACCGAACTTTCTCTGGAAGTTTGCTGTAACCAATGTTTATTCTTTCAATTTTAAATTATCGTACGATTATACTGAACAATATTCGACAGTGGAAACACTCGTTGAATAAAACGTTCAATATTTACTCGGTGACGTAACGATCGAAATGTTATTAACACCAGAACCACCTAAAGTGATCAAAATGACCCATTCGTAATTTCTAATAATACTTATATTAAAGTTACTCGACTCGATCTTTGAAGAACCGTAATTTCTTTAAAAGAACGAATAAACATTTATGTTCATTGCATTGTGCGTTTCTTCGAGTATCTATCCTTCGAATTTCTTTGGTACAAATAAGAATCGTTTCGGAAAAATTCCACAGCGAACCGAGCCAAATAAACTGCAGGCCTATTCTCCCGCAGAGAGCTAAGCATGACCAGTCTGCAGGCATTCGTAGTGCCTAACACCATTAATTATTATGAACAGGGTCAGCCGTAAGTAGAGTGAAGCATGAACTGAGTAAAACCGGGGTAAAGTATCGAAGACATGTATCGCGGTGTTCGCCGCTGTTACAGCCGAATACCGTGTCCCATCGGGCGACGATCACGATCCGATAATTTAAATCACGATAGCGATTGGACCTTTCAGACGTCGATCATCATCCTGTGCCTTCGATATCCCGACGACACCGCTTCCAGCGCATCTCTTTTCGTGTATCGAGCTCTCCAAACCGGTGGTACCTTGGTCCTCGACGAAGAGTCGACGGTAAACACTATCGATATTGCGAAATAATTGACCACTAACCGCTCTCGAATAGTCCTCGAAGGATTCGGTACTTTCGTAACTCCTGGGGAACGTTTATCGTTGCCTGAACGAAAAATATCAACGGACACTGGCAAAGATGCTCGATGATTATCAACGATTTAAACAGATTTTCTGTCAGATTATCGGTTCTCCGGTTAGGATCGGGTCGATTCGAGTTGGCTGCGAGGCGCGTGTTAGGAGAGCCGAACTCCGACTAAACCAACGATCGTTCTCCGGGCAGAAACTGGAAGCAGACTGGAGTTCCGTTCTGGAGGTGAAGCCTATCCGTTACGAAGGAGCCAGGGGAGATGGTGATGATGATGCCGAGGTGGTAGTGGCATACAGCAGGAGCGGATCCACGCAACTCTCACGGAGAGGATTCCCTTTTTCTATCGTATTTATAAACGATAGTAAGCCAAATCCCTATTAAGGGACCGGTTCCCTCGATCGGTATGCAGAAATATTACGTGTATCTTGTCTCGATCGATGTTACGTTTCCAACCGAGCTTGCGAACCAAGGTCGCGATTGGGCAACGTTTCGTTCGAATAACAGAAGAATTTATTCGCGACGTTTATTCGATCGTTGGGAAATTTTTATTTTTATTCGAACAGTGCTGCACGCTTCATCGTGGAAGATGAAGAATTTGGACAATCTTTAATCCTATACGTGGAGAAATTTTGGAAGCTATTATAAATCCAACGTATGTAAAATTTACAAGACGATTGTCTACTTCTGTGTAATTAATTTTTCTTACATGTAACTGTCTCTATTAAGATCTACCAAATTGTTTATTTTTTTCTGTTTTTATTTTATATTTCTGTTTGTTTAAAATATTCTTGATCGTCAAAAACCAAATACTTATTATTAGTGAGCGATACATGAAAGATAAACGAGCATTATTTGTGGAAATCTGTACATAATTTTCTCCATGTACAAACGTGTTTGAAAATTTATATACGAAGAAGTATGTCGAAGAATTAGAAACGAATAAACGTGATTAGTAATTTTTTTTAATAATAGAATTTCTGGAAGAAAGTCGTTATGCAATGCAGTTACCGTGTTCGAAGATTGTTAAATCCAGCAGTTTAGTTTCTTGGGATTTCAATTAATTTGTAATTATCCGGGACAGGTCTATTTCATCGAGACGGTGTCGATCTGATCCGCCCCTGGCAGGATGAGAGAAGGAACAGAGTGGAATAAAAGAGAAATAGAGAGTAGGATCGGAATGAAAGAAAGAAAAAGAGAGGAGCTGGTCCTCCGACGTCGAAGACCGGACCCGGCGACGCATTTACATATCGTACGTGTAATAACATCGAAAAAGTTTTAACAATGGCCCGAGGTTCGCCTCGGCTGCGAAAACGAGGAAAAAGGGAAAAATGAACGTGAAACCTTAGGATGAGGATCGATTGAAGAAACGTTTAACAAGCTTCTTTGGACTTTGAGCAACGAGACATCGGTAACATCTTCGAGGAATTGTTTTCTGTAGGTGGAGTGTTTCGTGAAACACCAACAACGAAAGGGAAGAGACTGAGAAATCCAAACGCAGACCCTTTCAATGGCAATCTTAACGAGTCTGGACAAACTTCTCGGTTTCTTAAACCCTACTGTTTCTTTCCAATTATTAATTTGTGTAATAATTATTTTCACTTAAAAAAAAATAAGTTTAGTTAGAACGTATCAAGAAATTCGTACTGTTATTGTATTTTAAATATTTCGTACGATAACAATGGTTTCTTCGTTACTTCCTTTTAATGGATGACATTATTAAAGACTTATCTGGTTCTTTTAAAAATATCTTCCTCTCGCGTAAAATAATTTACCGTTCATTTTTAGTTTAATTCTTTCCTAATTCGTAATTTTTACTACATTTTCTTTCGTTACTGCCTTCCACCGTTTAAAAAAACTATAAATATTGAGTTCTCGAAGGTCCTTTCTACGTGGGAGTTCGAGGCTCAAGCTACGGTTAGTGTCATGGTAAATCCACCTCTGTAGCCGTTATTGTTATATTTAAAACTCCCAATAAACTCAAGATAAAAATATTTACGTGCCTCGCGTCGTAATACCGGAACGAAACCTGCGTTTCGATTCTACAAATTTACTAGACAAATGCTAGCGTAGGATTGCAACTCACCCACAGTGATCTACAATGCGATTGCGG